TTTTGTCTAATCCATTGTCACCATCTTCAACACCTAGGTCGATTGAATCTATGTTAAGCTTTCTATGTCAGTGACTCATATCATAACTGCGCCTACACATCACGGATATATCTACAGGATAATGGGACTCTTGAGCACATTCGACATGGGAAAGTGTACTAAAGAAAACAAGGTCCAGCCTTCCTTCACGCATTAGAAAACCCAACCCAACTACTACCTAGCAATTTCTAAACTTACTCCACCTCCATTTATTGAGCCAACTTCTTGAAACTCAAGCTACCGACCAAGATTTACCCATGGGTATGAGGAAAGGAACCCAGGAATGTACCAAAGACCATCATACCCTCTATCCCTTTTGTATATTTGAGAAGTTCTCACTATCTCATAGGAACTTTCTCATAAATCGAAGTAAATTGCTATTCTGAACAAGTTATCATGAACATTATCTGAAGAACAATGGTGGAAAGCCGTGAGAATTGGAACAGATGCATGAGAAAAGATGGGATGCGGAAGCTTGTTGTTCTGCCAAATGGGAAGAGGGATACATGCTGTAAATGGGGATTTTCCTAGAAGTTTGATGTTGGTAGGTCATTAGAATGCTACATAGAAAGACTAGTTGGTAAGGGGTAACCCAAATATATGGAATTGACCACAACAAGGCTTTTCCTTCATGTTGCAAAATGGAACAACGTGAGAATCGTCTTGTCATTAGCGGCCATTTTTAATTGGAATTTAGAACAATATGATGTAAAGAATGGTTTTCCTCATGGTACTTGAAAGATGAAATGTATATGAGTACTTGACTTGGGTTTGGAGAACTCAAACGGAACGAGGTATGCAAATAAGGAGAACCTTTTATGGATTTTAATAATCACCCCATACCTGGTTTGAGGTTTACCAACGTTACGTTAGCTATGAAGTATAGGGTGAGTTAGGGAGATGACACTCTTCACAACTATGATAGTCAATGTAGATGACATTATTGTGATTGGAAATTTTTAAAAAGAGAAGCTCCAAACTTCTCGAAGCATAGACAAATGCAAATGGTGTTGGATATTCTACTTCTGGTTAGTATGGGTTCCTTGGTGCCAATATAGTGACACAACGGAGTTAAAAACAAAATGTTGTAGCCTGATAAAGTGTTGAATTGATAGTATTGACAAGGTAGCGGAGAGTTGTTATGGCTGAAAGTTATATTGGAAGACTTGAAGATTTATTAGAGTGGATGTGAGAAAAGCTTTTCTTCCAACTTGAATACAATGTACAAATTTATATACAAGCAAATCTTTAACAGCTCCTATAATTCAGCCTCTAAAATATTATACAAATTCTATCTAATAAAGTGAGAATCAATAATTATGTAACTGATCCCTAAGAATCAACCAATTATATGATATCCTAGCTTTATTTTCTACGCTCCCCCTTAAGCTACGCGATTTATGTTCTCTAAACCAAGTAATGCAATTAGTTGAGTGAGGTTGGGCTGAAACGGAGCCTTAGTCAGAATGTCAGCAGCTTGTTGCTTGGATGGAACACGTGTGAGTGAGATTGTCTCATTTTCGACCTTCTCATAGATGAAGTGTCTATCAATCTACACATGCTCGGTACAATCATGTTGGACTGGATTTTTGGCAATTGCAATTGCTGACCGGTTGTCACACATGATTCTGATAGAGTCTGATGCTATAACCTTAAGTTCTTTTACTAATCGTTGTAACCAAATTCCTTCACAAATGCCCAAGGCTAAAGCTTGGAACTCTGCCTCGACAGTGCTTCGTGCTATGACTTGTTGTTTCTTGTTGCGCCATGTCAAGAGATTTCCCCAAACAAATGAGAAGTATCCAATGTGGATCTTCCATTATACGAGGATGAACCCAAGTCTGCATCGGTATAGACATCTAGTGTCCGGTTGACCGTTTTTCTGAATATGAGTCCCTTCCCTATATCTTTCTTCAAATGATCTATTAATGTGTTGCTAAGAAATTGACTCACAATGCTGACAACAAAAATTATATCAGGACGTGTGTGAGTTAGATATATTAGCTTACCTACCAACCCCTGAGATTGCCCTTTATCACCGGTTCATCTGTCTGAGGCCTTAACTTGGTATTAGGGTCCATAGGGGTCTCAATTGGTACCCGATCATGCCAGTCTCACATAAGAGGTCGAGCACATAGTTGCGTTGGGAAATCGAGATGCCTTGACAGCTCCTTGCCACTTCACCTAAATCTCTAACTCTTTGGATGGTAGCCTCTTAAGTCTCTTCATTTCATCTTGATGGTTCCCTATAAGAACTATGCTCAACATATACTTTGGATGGTAGCCTTTTAAGTCTCTTCATTTCATCTTGACAAACAATGTATGATCTGCTTGAGTTTGGGAGTATTCGTCAATTTGAAGGACTTTTGTCAATCTGTCAAATCATGCTCTAGGGGACTGTTTAAGTCCATATAATGCTTTCTTCAGCTTGCAAACCTTCCATGGTTCTCCTTGTTCTCAAATCCAGAAGGGATGTCTATGTAGATTTCCTCGATCATATCTCCGTTCAAGAAGGCGTCTTGACGTCAAGATGCAATAACGGCCAACCCTGATTAACTGCAATGGACAATATAACATGAATTGTGTTGAGCTTGGGTACTGGAGGAAACCGGGTTTCTTGATAATCAATTCCATATGACTGAGTAAGCCCCTTATCCACTAGACGGGCTTTGTATCTGTCTATACTCCCATCTGCTTTTTGTTTAACTGAGAAAATCGATTTCCCAGGTGGTAGATCAGTTAACACCCAGGTGCCATTCCTTTGAAGAGCTTTGTACTCTTCTAAGGTTGCTTCGCACCATTTTTGAATTCTTAGAGCCTCATAAACCGAGTTGAGTACCGTGACTTTGTCTAGGCATGTCATAAATGCTCGGAATTTTGGAGACAATATTTTGTAAGAGCTGTAGCTTATGTTGAGTGCATGATCTTACCCCTTCTCTTTGGGCAATGGGAGATGCAATGTAGGATCACAAGTAGAACTTGCCTGTGAATAAGAAACTTCTTCATCTTGTATGTTTTCTTATTCAGCTTGGCCCTGGGAAGTTGATAAGCCTCCTATTCGTTCTTCCTGAATCGTCCACATCCTCTCCGTCCGATGAACCTGTCGAATTCAATTTACTAGCCACCTCGCTGCTTAATTTCTCAATTTGTTGTACAATTCGTTCCAAACTCTTCTCAATCGAACCGACGCTGCTTTCTAAATCTTCAATTCTTGTTGCCGCACTCCTTGTCGCCATGGCTGGATCTTACTGCTCTGATACCAATTTGATGTAAACCGGTAACAATTGTCGGCTTGTTTATTGCAATCAAAACAGAAAATGGAAGATTTCAGACTTTCAAGAGGTCTGGTTCTCTCCCTAAGAATTTTCACTCACTTTGAAAATACAAAACATAATACCTATCACAAACAAGTTTTGGGGGGAGGTATGATAAGCCTCCTATTCGTTTTACTTACAAGAGGAGGGTCTAGATTGTTAAAAGGTCTTAGTTGTTAATGTAAATAAGAGAAGGGTATTTTTGGTACTCTTTGGTAGAATAAGGAAGCAAGTTTTCTTTAAGTGGAGTTGAGTTGTTTGTGATAGGTATTCTGTTTTGTATGTTCAAAGTGAGTGAAAACTCTTAGGGAGAGATCCAGACCTCTAGAAAGTCTGGAATCTTCCATTTTCTGTTTTGATTGCAACTAACAAGCCGACAATTGTTACCAGTTTACATCAGAAGTTTCTTGACTTTGCTGATTTGTTATAGGCATGTCCTGATTTTTCCTTCTTTCATAAGCTTTGACAGCATCATCAAAAGAAGGTGTTTAGGATAGACATTGGGTGATTGTTCGGGTATATAATTTGACTGAGAGCCAGGGGTTTGAGACACATGGTGGGTCAAGTCTGGATCCGAACAAGTTGGAGCACTAGAGTTATTTGGAGGAGATAGGGTGGAGTGAACTTGAGTTGGTGAAATATGAGTCCATGGCGTATGTCCAGTTCACTTCTGAAATCTATGTATGTTATTCTTCCCCTGAATTACAGAATTATGGTAGAACGGAATATTTTCGAAAAAGGTAACGTCCATGATATTGTAGAACTTGATTGGATGAATATCCAAGAAGGATACATTTAAGTGCACAAGTATCAAGCTTACCACAATATTGAGGGTAGATATGTACGAATGCAGTGCAACCAAACAACTTGAAAGGAACTTGTGACACAAGATGAGAGCTAGGAACTAGACCTTGGAATTTTTTCATTGGTGAGTTGAAGTCAAAGACACGAGAGGGCATGTGGTTGATTAGTTATGTTGCAGTTTCACCCCAGAATCTCGTAGGAACATTTTCTTGGAAAAATGAAGATGGGGGCAACCACAAGGATGTGACAGTTTTTACGTTCTGCCCCACCATTTTGTCGTGGGGTGTGGGCACATGAACTTTGTTGGACAACACCATGAGATTGGAAATAGAAACCAAGACTGGAATTAAAGAAGTCTTTGGCATTATCAGTTTTTAGGCTTCGAATTTGAGATTTGAATTGATTTTGAACCATGACATGGAAGTTCTGAAATTTGTGTTTGGTTTCAGATTTTGTCTTTCGTAAGAAATGTCCAACACAATCTAGTACGGTCATCAACTAATAATAAAAACCATCTAGCACCGGTTATGCTTGGAATACGGATCGCCCCCAAATGTCACCATGGACAAGGGAGAAAGGGTGACTTGGTTTGTATGATCGTGGTGAGTAAGTATTACAAGTATGCTTGCCCATTTGACAAACCTCACATTGAAATAACTTGGGATTTTTATTTATGAAGAGAGATTAATTTGAAAAACTGGGATGAACTAGGCATAAGTATCACATAATTGTTTCACTTTCTTTATTCAATTGACTAGAAGACTTAAAACTATGACTCAACGAATTATGATGACCGACCAAATGAGTTGAAGGAGTGTTGACATCAAGAACATAAAGGCCTGCATGGACGTCAACATTGCCAATCGCCTTCCCGGAGCTCAAGTCCTGAAATATACAAGAATTTGGAAGGGTTTAGTTGCACAATTTAAGTCACTAGTCAGTTTGCTGATTGATATGAGATTACACTCAAGTTCCGGCACAACTAACACTGATTTGAGTGTTAGGGTGGCTGAAAGTTTAACAGTTCCTGTAACAACCACTTTGGTGCGTGTAGCATTGGTAATACATACAGTTTGAAGGCCAGTACAAGGAGAATAAGTTGAGGAAAGTGATCGGTCACCTGTCATGTGGTCGGATGCACCTGAGTCAACAATCCAAGGTGAGGAGGATGATTTTGTGGTATGAAGTGCAGCACTGTTGGAGATTTGAAGGTTATTTTCTGAGGTAGTTGAGCCAATACGAGATGTTGAAGGAGTCTTGGGAATGGAAGTGGACGAATCCGTGAATAAGAGATCTAATTCCCCCATGAAGAGAGGTTTTGAGAGAGAGAATGAGCAGATTAAAGGAGACGATGGCTTGAGAGAAAGAAGTAGGATTTCTAACTTAGAGCTCTGATACCATGAAGCTGGGTGAGATGTGTGAGAAAAGCTTCTATTCCAACTTGAATACAATGTACAAATTTATATACTAGCAAATCTGTAATGGCTTCTATAATTCAGCCTCTAAAATATAATACTAATTCTATCTAATAAAGAGAGAATGAATAATTATGTAATTGACTAATTGATCCCTAAGAATCGGCTTACAGATTATATGATATCCTAGCTTGATTTTCTACATAACTACATATTTTCTTTCCCACAGTTTAGATGTAGATTTCTATGTTTTAGGTAGTTGCTATTTCTTCCTCCAAAACACCTTGTATGTACTTGTAAATTATGAGAAATCCAAAAGACAGTTCTCTCTTTTTCAACACAAACATATAACCGTGCTTATCAACATACGGGTAAAGGTTATTGAAGACAAATGCTCTACTTCATTAAAGTCATGGAAAGCTGTAAACCTGGTGCTATGCTTTCTTGATTAATTGTTCATTCAGCAGAAAATTATAGCATCATGATGGCTTAAGTATCATTTCCTTGATGTTAATGCATAAGCTCTGTTCCATTTTTAGGTAGTTGCAAGTGGAGATTTGCACTGGGATGCTCTTTTACAAGCCAACTTGCAAGCTGTTCCCGCAAGTATACCTATAATAGCACTCTCTTTTGTTTATCAGGTAATAGTTCTGGCTTCATTACATCATTACAAACAGTAATGTTGTTTTCATCATGTATCTAACTATTAACAGTTTTTCTCCATTCAGAATGTTGTGCCTGTTCTTTGTACGAATCTGGAAGGAGACCTTTCTAAAATAAGGTGAAAATTCATCGTCTGTTTCTCATTTAAAAAATGTTTTGACATCCATCAGGGCTTTCCAAATCCTTTCCGAATCATGGCATAACCAAACATATTGAAATTGAGTGACATTTCATTTCAAAAAAAAAGTTAACAACAGTGTTGTGGAGCTGGATCACGTTCCTTCACGACCAGAGATTGCAAATGTACTTACCAAAGCACTTCCAAGATCAACCTTCGTAGAACTTGACTCCTAGCTTGGTTAGTAATTAGTATAATATATACAACCTAGCCTGAAGGGGAGTATAGAATTATAGATGAATTAGGAAAAGTTTTATAATATGTAATTATTATGTTGTATTTTAGGAATAATTTAGTCTTCCATATTTTGTTGGATTCTTACAGAATTATGATACTTTTACTGTACATATATATACATATATATATATATATATATATATAGAGAGAGAGAGAGAGAGAGAGAGCGAGGTTCAAAAGAGAACATGGTCAAAAATCAGATGTGATACAGGCGTTCTTGTGTTCTCTTATTTTGACCTTGTTCTCGAATGAACCCAGCCCTATATATATATATAGGATATTGATTCCCTTTCTTTTGGGAAAATTAAGAATTGAAGTAATTCCCTCGATTCCTTCTTCAATAAACACCCATTTTGTACCATTGCTGGCCTCTTGGTAGATCTACAACTTCATAGATTTCATTCTTTTTCAAAGCATCTACTCCTTGATTGTTTGTCTTGATTCTGGAATAGTGAGACCTTCACGAGCTGATTTCAGCATCCCTACGTTAGAGATGTTAGCAATATAACCCTGGAACTCAGAGATAGCTTGTTATAGGGAGCAAATTAGCAATAGGGAGCTTTATACAAGAGCTCACTCATTTTCTAAAGAGCAATTGGCAAATCATTGGATTTATGTGGTCTTGATCTCTAGCCGGAACTTCAGAGTACAATTTTCCTCGACTTGGTGGGAGGTCTTAATCCTGGGTCTGATTCTTGACAAACCTGCGTCTGGAATACATCGAAGCAGACATTTGGTAATAATCTTTGGGTGCTAATTCATAAACACCCTTGTAATAATTGCATGATGTGTGCAAGTGGAATAGTTCTCTTCCTGAATAAGACAGATCTCTTATATAGCCAGCATGATGTGTTAAGAAATGATTGACAAGATTGTGGTCAAGGAAAGTCATACAACTCAAGGCAACCGGCAGCTACCCGCTCTTAGGCATTATTCATTAATTTCGATAACTTGTACAAAAAGTGTAGGATGGTATAAGTATTGTTGACGTTAGGCTTCCATACTATGAGCCTTGCTTCTTATCAATTGGCACTAAATGAAAGCCATAAGCTTTAACATGTTATACCAAAAAAGTTGAACCATGGTCTTTGGTAGTGAACCTTTAATCTTTTTTCGGAAGGCAATAATTTTATTATGGACAGAGGAACCAGAACGAAACAAAAAGGAAACAAAGAGGCCAAATTCTGCAAGAAGCAGAACGCCAAGGAAGAACAAACAACCCACTACAAAAGACAAAGGCCCAAGAAGAAACAAATGACACAAAACAAAAAGGAAGACCCAACCCTAATGTTGGTCCGGTTTGGGTCTACAAGAGTTTTATAGAAACAATTTGTGGAAGGGGGGGGGGATGAATACAAACACATAGAACTTTCAAATTTAAAAATATATATTGATAAAGAAAGATCAATACAGATTCTTACAAGATTGTATGCGGAAATAGACAAGGTAAAGATAACCTATCTAAAAAAATCTAAGTTTACACACAGATAATCTTAGCAAAGAGAAAAGATTTGCTGAAATATAAAGAAGGAAATAAGTTCTTCATGGGTAAGAACTTTTAGAATACTTGAGAGGGATTCTAACTTGCTTGAAGATAAGCGTAAGTGTTCTTAGATGTGTGTGTTTTCATGTAGAAAAAATTGTCTCTGTATGGAGAGAGCACGCATCTACTTATATCCATTGCATTAAATGCACATTTAATGCAATGCAGTAGGGTTTGAACACGCGTCAAGCCTTTAAGGAAAAGCTTGTCCTTTGCTACAGTGAATTGTACAAAAGCCTATTCATGAGCAGACATCCTTTCGTGGAGTTGGTGGGTAATAGAGTCAATTAGTCGGCTCCGTACCGTACTATACTCTAGAAAGGGTATGGGTTTGTTCTTTGTGTGGAAGGACAAGACAAAAACAATCTTGCACAACAAGCTTCATTTGATCGCTGAATGCTGGAATAACACTGAAGGTCTCTTCAACATTCGCTGAGGCTTGGGCAGTGTTCATATATGTGTTGACCAGGTTGTAATCGTTGAATGCCTCTTCAGATCACGAACATGCTAGTCTCTAATCTTCAGTTTCAGTTTTCGACTTTCGCTGAAGGTTCTTTGGTGTGAGTTTTGTCTTCTTGAAGCATTGTTGTCGCTGTAGGATTTACAATACATGTTTCAGCGATCACTGAACATACTCAGTGATGATTGCTGGAACTGAAAGACAGAAACATAATACTTTTTTTTTTATTAACCTGGATATCCAACCCGCTATGCAAGCCGACTAATCCTAGGGCGACCACCTGCTTTGCAGATAGCCCGGAGTCACCGCATTTGAACCTCCGTGGCCACAAGGGAATTTTTTTTCCTCCCTGGATTTGAACTTGGGACCTCCTGGTACTTTTGACCTTTGGAGCCAAGCTCATACCAATTAGGCACCACCCTTATGGTTAGAAACATAATACTTTGTGACAGGTAAAAGGGATTATCATCAAATCAATGAAAGAGAGGATCAACACATAACCCACGAACAAGACAACCTTTAGCTTTGCCAAGACAAGCCACTCAACCACTCCCTCCAAGAAGGCTTCCTGCTCTTTGCCCTCTCTGAGATCCATAGAAAGGAGGTCGACTGGATTTCGAAAAATAGCTCCCTAATATCGATTCGAGCACCCCTTGCAAAACCCAAAGTAATTCGCTTCCTCTACAGGATGAATAGAGAAGACTAAATGACTGCTTCCCTTGCCGAAGCTAAAGAAGTCACACCATCATTGCTACCAATGTCCGAAATCAGCTCCTCAATCGATCTTCTTGACTGGATTCCCACCACACCAAGCAAATATTTTTCCCACATTTGAACACTGATCGAGCAGTCCCGAAAGCAGTGTTTAAGAGTTTCTACATCGCTATTGCATTTAGGATACAGCCCTAGAGTCTAAATCAAAGCCCCTTTCATACATAACTTCCCTCACTAGAATCCCTCCGTTACACAACCTCCAAACAAAGACGTTGACTTTCTTTGGCACTAAAGAACACCATCGAGTATTTCCATTGTGAGTGACCAGCAGCCTATTATCCATCATTTCCCTCAACTTTTTCACAGTGAATACCCCAGTCTCATTCAAATCCAAAACCCACTTGTCAGTCCGATTAGGGTTAGGCGAGATAGGTTGCAATAGCTGCAAAAGAACCTCAAACTCCCAACTGGCTCTACTCCTAAGGTATCTATCCCAACTCCATGGCCAACCTTCCACCCCAACTGGACCACTTTTATCTCGCAGCTTCCCCTCTTTTACCCTTTCTAAAGCCCACAAACGTGGAAATCTATCTTTTAATCTATCACCCTCCAACCAGCGGTCCGACCAAAAATTGATATCAGCCCCATCACCAATAGTTTTGCTAAACGAGTGTAAGAAAGATAAACTAAAATATTCTATTTCTCTTATCGCCTTTATCACTCCTCCCCAAGCGCCCCCAAGCATGCCCCTACTATCTCTACCACTAAAGCCACCATCTCTACCGTAAATGCTCGAAATAGTTCTATTCCACAACACCCCTTCCTCCAATTTGAATCTCCAAAGCCATTTCCCCAACAAAGCCAAATTAAACGCTTGAATACTCACCATGCCTAACCCCCCTAATTGAGCATCACAAATTACATTATCCCACCAAACCTAGGAAGGATAATGCAATCTATTACTCCCACCCCAAAAGAGTTTCCTTCTTGATCTCTAAAGGGTTCGCCACGATTCCTATCGGGGCACGATACAAGGAGAAAAAAAATACAAAGGTAGACTGTTCAGCATGGATTTAATTAGCGTGAGTCTTCCACCCATCAATATAAGCTTTCCAATCCAGCCATCTAACCTTGATTTGAATTTTTAGATAACTGGCTACCATGATGCTTCTCGAACCATCAAGTCTCCAATCGGGAAGCCTATATACGTGAAGGGAGAGATCTGAGTTGCAATTTTAATTGCCGCCGCCTTTTCTATAGTCTCTTTATGGATCCAATCCATGCATCTTGCTTTCCGAGAAGTTTATTCTAAGGCCCACCACTGATTTAAAGCAAAGGAGTGATGCTTTAAAGTTCTTTAAATTTGCGCGACTCCACTGTCCAAACAAAAGAGCATCATCGGTAAAGTGAAGATGAGAAACTTCGACTTTGTCTCAACCCACCTTCACCCCTTCAAAGAGCCCCTTGGTCTTTGCTTCTTCCATAACAATATTCATCATTTCCATTGTAATAAGGAAAAGAAAGGTGATAAAGGATCACCTTGTCTAACCGTCATTCAAGGTTGAACTCTCCCATAGGGAACCGTTGACCAAAACAGAAAGAGAGGCAGATGAAAGGCATGCATTGATCCATTTGCACTATCGATTCCAAAACTCCATTTGGAGCATCAAATCTTCCAAAAACTTCTAATTGACAAAATCAAAAGCTTTTTCGAAATCATAAAGAGAAAAGCTTTATGACCAGCCTTTTTCATTAAGGTTACTGCTGAGTCGGCCACTAGAATGTTTTCCGCTATACTTCTTCCTCCAGTAAAATTCGTTTGAGTGTCGCTAATTACCTCCCCTATTACTGTTTTCAGCCTTTTTGCCAAAGTTTTAGCAATAATCTGGTAAAGATCCCCAATTAAGCTAATGGGAAGAAACTCATTGAAATAAATCGGATTACTAACCTTACGGACACCATCAAAAAATAAGAATTACAGCCTTTGTTAACATCCCTTTATCCCATAACCAATACAAACATTCATCATATCAGCCTTTATTGTGTCCCAAAACTCCTTAAAGAACTTGAAACTAAAGCCGTCCAGACCCTGAGTTTTCGATCCTCTGCAATCCTTAATCACAGACCAAACTTCAATCTCCAAGAAAGGGGCTCTAAGTCCAGCTAAGTCACTAGACAACCTTATTTAGAACTAACGAACCTTGGTCTGAGATTGTCCTCCATGTCCTCTTTGAATTTGCCGCCGGAAAAATTGATGGCAGCTTCTTTTATTTTTTCTAGGATCTTCAATCCAAACCCCGTTACACATTACACCAGTTAGGTTTTTCTAATTTCTTAGCTTGAATAATGAATGAAAAAAAGCCTTGTTTTCATCACCTTCCACGGTCCAATTAACACGCGACTTTTGTTTCAACATAAGAGTGTGTTTCCCTTCTAAATCCAACCAGACCATCTTGGCCCTATTCTATTCTTCAAACTTCCCATCGGACAAGTCAGATTTGCTCGACTGCTAACTCGAGCTCAATAGCTTTGCTCTTGAAAGCCTCGATATCAGATTTGAGTTTCCCAAATTTAGATCTGCTCTAATCTTTGATTTCTTGTTTGACTCTCTTAAGTTTGTCTCTAAATACCTTATCGAGAACGGGTAGCTGAACACCACGATTTAATTACCAACTCTTTGAGGCTGGAGTCCTCTAACCAAACATTAAAAAACCTGAAAGGTTTTTCTCCAAAGTCTATTTGAAGGCTTTAGAATAAACGGACAATGATCAGAGAGTTTCCTCTCTAATACCACCACAGCTAGCTCCCCGTCCACGAGGATTCAAACTTGTCATTAATCAAAAATCTGTCCAAATTGCTAAACTTCTTTCCATTGTCCTCGACTCTAGTAAAGTGCCTACCTCCCAATGGAATCTCGATAAGACCTGCAACCTTAATAAAATTATTGAAATTGTCTGTTGGCTTTTTGAAAATAGCGTCTTTCCTTTCCCCTGCCTCTCTAACTTTATTGAAGTCTCCAAAGATGCACCAAACCATGTCTAAAGAGCAAATGAACCTAGATAAGGCTTCCCATAAGATAGATGTTTTTCTTCATATCATGAGGACTATATACATTGATGAATCTCACCTCAACATCTCCCTTTTTCTATTGTACGACAACACCGAGATATCCTTCACCACCCAACACCCTTTTGCTAACAAACTTAAATTTATTCCAGACCAAGAGAATGCCCCCAGAGGCCCCATCTGCACATCACGAGCGAATTCAAAATCATCACATAACTGAAAATTAACCACCAATTGGTCATTGACGGCCTGAACTTTTGACTCTTGAATCCCAATCATTACAAGTTTGTTAGCCACACAAAGATCTTTGATCCAATTTACTATTTCTGGGTTGTTCAACCCTCTGGCATTAATCGAAATTATCTTCATTTGACACGGAAATAAACTACACAACTCGAAGCAACACCCACCTAAAAAGATTAGTTGCCACCGCGATTGTCCCTAGTCCATTTATTACCCGCCTTAGCTTTCACCTTCCTCACATCCGCTGACTGCAAGGACCCCTCCGAAAGATTCCTTGAATTCTTGCTTCCATTTTTTTCGGATTGAGAATTACGCTTAGAGCGAGATTGAGATGGTCTCCCTTTCTTTTGAACAGAATCCATCATTTTCATCCTACTAAGCCTCCCACCAAACCCCATTGACTATTGAATATTAGAACTCCTCTTAACACCTGGTCTCTAATTATACACGATATGACACTTGGAAGCAAATTTTATTATTTTATTCGGATTGATTTTCGACTTGGGTGAAATATTAGGGATCGGGATGATTTTGGAATTGATAAAGTCGCTTGAATTGTTAAGATTGGGCCCCCTTCTTTTTGGACAAGACTTCGACATCGGGTTTTTAAGCTCCTTAGGCCTGTTTTTTACGATGTGCTGACCTCGTAGGACAGGGGCCCCACATATTTACTTGAAATTTGAACGGGAAAATAATCCTTGACAACCGTTCCTGAGACCCTTCGTCTTTCGAACCATTCACCTCTTTGAAGACTACGCTGAAATTGCCGATCATGTCCTCTGCTTTCCTACCACACTCGCCACCATCAAGAGCACCATCACTCCATGCGCCCGCCCACCACATACTCCAACCCTTCATCTTCGCCGTCACCATCATCCTCAGAGACATCAAGATTGACATCCTCATCCAGATTTTCTGCTACAAGATCAGCCATGAAATCATTATCAGACGAGACCTGATCATGAGAATTATCGATCTCAAATTTTGTGTTATCTTGTTCCTCAAAATCAATTGTGAAGTAAAATCCATCAACAACAATTGGCAAAATTGAGTTGATATGCATAAGTTTGTTAGCCAAGATCAAAACACTTCCTTCAACTCTGGCCTTCGGAATTGAACAGTTAATTGAATCCAAAGAACAATACCCATGCCTTCAGCAATTCTTCTGAAGGATTCTTCCGACCAAACATGAAGAGGAACACTAGTAATGTCCAAGCAGACTAACCTCCTAGAATGAATAACCTCAGGATGCCATTTTGCAACCGGCATGAACAACTCTTTCAATGAAGAATTATTATTGCCCAATAACACCTCTAAAGATGCAAAGTTATCGACTTCCAGTAACAAGTTTAAGCCTGCTAGATGTTTAATGGATTGACCTCCACTCCCTCCTCACAAACAGACTTAACGTCTTCAATAGAGCATAATTCTTTAGTTTTACGTATCACTCTAGATTGAAGTTACTCCTCGTTCAGGGATGAGACCTCCAAATTGCAAATGCCGCCATCATCTTTAGCAGAAGCAGAACCGTCCTTCTCACCTCCAATTGGAATACTTTCTCTCTCTTTCTCTTTGTAGATTTTGTCTGAACTCCCTTCCCCCTTCTCATTCCTTTCCATTCTAGAATTCTCTTTCCCCTTACCTCTAGCCGCTTGATTGTATGACCTTCCATCTCTGAAGTCTTGGAAAAAAGTACCATCCGACCTTCTATCCTTCCTTTCTTCTTTATCCTTCATCTTTATGGTTGGCCTTTTGATCCATCATGAGCTAAGCAAATTCTCATCTTGTGACTCCCAATACAGATAGTGTTTAGTCTTCTCAACACAGGCCATACTTCTCTCTTGGCGAAACCAGATTCTTCTCCTCTTGTCAACCTTTTATTGGCCATATAGATATCCACCAAGTTACCATATCTTCTAAGACCTTCCAAAGATGACTTGCATCCCAACCTTTTGGGAATTTGAAGAACATAAACGAAACCACTCCTCTTGGAAGAGACCTGCTAACCTTCGTGCTAAAGTTCCCAACGAGATTTAGATTCTCCATGAATTGTGCCCACTGATCCAGCAATCGAGCAATGCCCCTAGACGCTCTCTCCCACTCTCTATCTTGCCATCTCACTCTTTGACTCTCTCATATCTCGCTCTCTCTCTCTCTCTGTCTCTCTCATCTTAGAGATCCAACCTTACGCTCTCTCCCACTCTCTTCTATAGATTAGACAGTGAACCATTAAGCTATTGAAGCAAATATTAGAATTCTCTTGTTGCTTGCCTATGTGATCATGAGGTTAAACATAGGACTCCATGCGTGAGTGCAAGGTGCACTGGTTTATGAAAAGTTATTTGTTGCCAAGATGTTCTCTTTTTGTTTGCCCAACTCTCTCATTCCATTCATTGATCAGGTACTTTTTGTATATTTAGAAGTTATAGTAGATAATTTGAAATGCTTGTATCCTGTGCTTTCTAACCGTGGACCATCTTTCTAGTATTTGATATTTATTTGAATTAGATGGATTATCACCTGCAGGACTGCGATTGTTCTAGGCACTGCCATTCCCCTTGGACTCTTTATTATATGGAATGCTGTCATTCTTGGAACAATCACTGCTCCTGAAGCAGGCATGGATAAGATTACGGACCCACTGCAAGAATTGCTAGCTACTAATGGAGTTGTTGGGGTCAGTAATTAATAATTAGTAAATTTATTCATTGGGTCATTTATTTGGAATGTATATTAATAAAAAGCTATTTTGAGCCTGTTCACATTATAGCCTTACTCTCATGATTGGAAACTTTTGAACTGATAATTGCTCCTCTCATTTCATCATCCAAATATACTCTGCAGCCTATCGTTGGGGCATTCTCACTACTTGCCATTGCAACTTCTTATATTGGATTCGTTTTGGGCCTCACTGACTTCCTCTCTGACTGTGAGTTTGATCTTGTCTATAATCTTCATATAAAAGTTTGCAATTAAATTGTAGTATTGTTGAGGATACCCGAAGATACAAACTTCTTGCTTATAATCTTAATACCAAAATTAGCATGAGACTGTATTGTTGTTGAGGATACAACAAGATACGAACTAACTGTTTCAATTTTATTGTTATACAAGAATTAACAAAGTCACGTAATTTCTCAGAAATCGCAATTTTTAATGGATGCTCCAAGAGAAAGTAGCACATAGAAAACCATCCAGTTAACATTCTTACCTAAAACTACATAAATACTATATAACTGAGTATTTTTTTTATCTTCAATGTGTGGCATGCTTTTTGTCAAGTTCGCCAATATTAGAAAAACCGATCATTTTCCTTCTGTCACCTTTCTAGAAAGAGATTTTCCTTGCTTATTGTGGTCCCTAAAAGTTGCTCTAATCCATTTAGCTTGATAATGTTTCGAGTTCCTGTCTTAACCATGTATATATCTTTTATATTTGTTTTCATGTGTTTGCAGTGCTGAAACTACCATCTGATAGAAGCAGACCGCTCCCATACCTCCTGACTTTGTTTCCACCACTAATACTGTCCCTGCTAGACCCAGACATCTTTTTCAAAGCATTGGATTTTGCTGGAACTTATGGAGGTATGTCTGTCTGTTGTTTATGTTTCAACTCCAATTATGAGGAAATCGACCATTTGAATAAATGGCTTGGTCTGTGGTCAATTACTCCCTCCATCCTATACTAAATGAAACTTTTGCTCAAAGCGACTTCATTTAGGGATCTTGTCAATGATGATTACTTCTCTTTCAATCTCTAGACATCTTCACATTTCAAATAATCATTGAAGAAATTGCTGTCTTTTATGAACATCTTTGAGCAAGCACTGGGAAAAAAGGAAGGCCGCATCTCAGAAAAAGAATTTATGGGTGCTAGTTAAATTTCTACCAGAAGCTCGTTTTGTTTTTGTACGTAGCGAGTAAAATATCCAACCCTTTGGATGTTTTGACAAAATAATAATAAAATCAGAGTTAATATGCTGCGAGTTAAATGTAGGAGTGTAAATCGTCTAGCGTGTTTTGGGAGAGGATTGGTAACTAATGCTGTTCTAATTCATTCTCAATTATGTACATGAAAACAAGTGGCAGATGATTTCAAAACGAACCAACTAACTTCTGTTTGGTTGGGTAACTAATGCAGTTCTAACTCATTCTCAATTAATACATGAATTGTTCTAGACTTCTAGTACAAGATAAATGAACATAAACTCTGGATCCTTGAAATAAGTTACAGATTATTTTTCTTTAGCTCAACTTATATTAAATTTTCGTTTTGTTATAAATGAAATTGTGGAAAAATGTATTTAGATTACATCCCACATAGGTATTGGATAGAAGATAACCCAGGATTATCGTATATATCGTGGGTTTTTCCCTCTTTATTCTTTTTGTTTCTTCCAATTCACGACATGATATCTATGATTTTTGAGAAATCAGAATATTTTCTGCATATGTTAGAATCCCCTGGGTTGTGGTTAAATACATACTTTGTTTACTTATTAATAGGAAACTTATCTCACTAATGTACAGCCGTGATCTCTAAACCTACACAACCCCATCTGTTTGGTTGGGAAACTCTAAACCCGACTTGCTGATGATTCCATCAAAGCTTGGCTTGAGCAATCCGTTTGCAAGGATTTCCACTACTTGTGTGGTTGGAACATACATGCATGCTGATCATTCCGTTTTCTAGCTTTGCTTTGCTGTAAGGGTCAATTTCCACGTTTTTATTCCTGTCATGCTGCACTGGGTTATTAGCAATGCATATGGCAGCCTTGTCGCAATTCATCCTCCTATGGTAATTGTACTGTTTTAGCTCGTCTAGTACTCGCTACCGACATACTGCCTCACAAATTCTGTTGGTCATAGCATGGAACTTTGCTTCAGCATTGTTGCGAGCCACTAAATTTTTCTTTTTATTTTCCGATCACTGATCTTCTCATACAAATGGATGCTATCTATTAGTGATTGAACCTTCTCGATATGCATTAGTAAACACTTGAAAAGTTCTTTGACCTTCTTCTCATTTACAGCCATATGCACAGTTTTGCCATATATCAAAGGGACGCTAGGAAGAGGAATCCTTTTCAAAAGAGAAGGGTGGCTAGCTATAGAATCATACACAGATCACGGATGTTGACTCTAAACGATGAACAGAATCAAACCAATTAGTTTGAAAGTTTTTCAAGAACCGGTGTCCCTAAACTTTTGTTTGTTTCATTCCAATTCTTGGTTTGAGTTTACATCTATAGTTGAACATTATCAACTGTATGTACCTTCTTCGGGAGATCCGAAAAAGAGGATAATGACGAAACATGCAAATAGTACCTGTTTGTCGGAGGGCTAGAAGTTGTTCAAGGGAGAACCGCCGTCTGAGTCGGAAACAGTTGATGAGTTGTGACTTCAAATCCTCCCGTATCAGAATTGGACGTCTGCTATCGGCCCAATGAAACCACGCTAGAGCATCGCCTTCCATATGAATCCGTACGTTGGCAACCTTCTCTTTCTCCTCAAAACGCTAAGGGCAAAATAATGTTCCGCCCTAAAATTCCATCCATCTGGATTGATTCCATTGAACATGTGTAATTCAACATGTCACAGTCTCCAATCTGCCAGAAAGAATGCCAGAGTTGGAGGTTTGCCGGTTCCTCCCATATCTGAGTGGACGAATAACGAGGAATTTACACCCCCTTTGGGTTGCAATTCTGAACCTCCTCCCAAACCAGAGCCTTGAAACGAACCTCTGGTTTAAGTGGAATCCTTGGATCCCGCTTGGAATAGCGAATCCAATTTGGCCATAATTGCTTGAATTCCCTTGTCTATATCGTCAATTCGTTTGGTGTTCCCTGCTTCGCGATTGCAAAGCGCTTTCACATCAGCTCTCATTGCTTGAATGGATTCTTCCAGCACATCGATGCGTTCTCCTAGATTCTTTGGTGCCATGGTCAATCATGATCGAAGGCTCTGATACCATTTTGATAAGAACCGGTTTTACTAATCAATAAAAATAAAAGTAATGTAGAAGAAACAGTAGCCATATGCCTGATTAACAAGAAAAAGATAGGTACTAGCTGGCACTCTGCCTAGGACAAACTCAATATTAACAGCCCTAATAACCATAATGGGCCAGGGATAAGTACATAACACAAACAGAAATAAAGAAATCTTGTGCACCTAAATCACAACCATCTATCTAGTGGTAGCGACGATTATGGCAAATAGGTAGTTTTATCCGAAAAGGGAATAAAGTGATACATCTGTCTGTATGTATGTATGCAAGTTCATTATTGTTTTTCAGGCAGTAACTGCGAGCTTAATTATGTTTATGTAGTTCTTGTGCTTTTTGGTGTTGTTCCTGCTGCAATGTCTTGGTCTGATAGATACACGAGTTCTTCGGTGTCCTCAAATCTTCAGCAGCTTGTACCTGGAGGTAGGTTCACCCTTTCACTAGTAATTGGTGGTGCGGGATATGTTATTATTTCAGAACTAATCCAGAACTTGATGATCAAAACAAACATCTCCTGACTGATGGAAATTGTTGTATTATCACTACACATATTTCTTTTTTCAATATCTACAACACGTTTGTTGTAGTTAGAAATTTGTAAAATAAAACAAAACCCTGCTATTTTTACTTTTGTCTCGGATACTTTGGTCCAATTTCTATACGACTTTTGGCATATTATGAAATTGTAACCTTGAACTAGATGGCTGAGGAAAACCCAGAATTTAACCTTGAACTAGATGGCTGAGGAAAACCCAGAGATTGAAGTTCTGAGACGATGGTCGAGGTTCCTATAATTTTGCAGTACTGGATCCAAATCTAACATGAACTACAAGTTCTCATTTCATTAAAATGTAAAAATCAAAATCCACTGTCTCATTTCCAACAAGTGTACATGATATTAGGTTCATGAATTTCACACTTGTATAAAACAATTTCCACCCTTTCCGACATTAACTTTTCGGATCCTTTCATTATCGACCTCCTGCTACGGTTAAGGCCCCTCAGATTGTACATAATCCCTTAAACCTCTTTTAACCAAGACTGTACAAGTGTGCGAAGACATGGAGAAAATATGCATGAAGTTTTAACATCTAGGTAATCATCAAAATTTTCTTGCAATACTTGAGTCATAACCAAAAACATTTACATTTAGACTGTCAAGAACATAAATCTCCAGTAATCCATGTATAAATTTGTAGGAAAAAAAAAGTCAATATATACATTGATAGAGTATGATAGGTATATATAAAATAAGCATGTGATGGTTTGAAAATTAAAAGAGCAATATAACTATGTGAGTTATTGCTTGATCTCTAATTTTGGAGTGATAGTTTTTTTTTTTTTTTTAATGAATAAACAACAATCGGAGTTGAGGTGACATTATATAATTTGAGTATTCTTGAAATCATGAATTATAGTGTTGTTTAGATTTCCTACATTGGTAAGAAGATATTATTATTATAGAGGAACAATAATCGGAGTTGAGGTGACAAAATTTGAGTATTCTGAAAGTCTTGAATTATAGTAATGTTTAGTTTTCCTACATGGTAAGAAGATAGTATATTGATAAAAAGAAAGTAGAAGGAATGTAAAGGGGGGGTGTGTGTGTCTTTATATATATATATATAGAGAGAGAGAGAGAGGGTATATTTCTTTTACAATCTTGTGTATTTGTACAAACCTTGCAACCTTTTTTTCAACCAATCAATAAATAGTTTTTTTTTAATTATTTTTTAAATGAAAAGGTTAATGTTGTCCTTTGATAATTTTACATATTTATTATTATTTTTAATTAAAAATGATAATAATCCTATTTATGGTTGTAACCTTCTAATTACTATGTATATTTAAAACTGATATGGAAACATTAAAATTTCTATAGAAAAATAATAATAACTTGGATGAATTCGATGAAGCTTTGGCACAATGGGTTCAACTTCACATACTTTTATGGATTCGATATCCTTCAATGAAACATTCGTCAAGGATATATTTGATGAAATCGGTGTTGTCAGTGTATTGATGAAACCATCTTCATCAGAATATATTTGTTGTCAGTGTATAGATTAAACCATCTTCATTAGAATCATAACGTGCTTTTAAAGGTGAGATGGATACATAAAGCTAAGTTCATAAAAACATAGTTCAAAAGAATTGTTGTCAGTGTACTGATGAAACCATTTTTCATCAGTTTCATAACCTTATTTTAAAGGTGAGATGAATACATGAAACTAAGTTCATAAAAACATAGTTCAGTAGAATTGTTGTCAGTGTACTGATGAAACCATTTTCATCCGTTTCATAACCGGTTATGATGGATACATGAAACTAAGTTCATCTAGCGTGTTGTCCGTATGTCAAAGCTTATAAAGTGTGTTGATGAAACTATTTTCAATGAATATCACTATTTGTCTTCTACAGCAGAGTGATTATCACATTCATGATTTCATAGAATTCCTTCTTAGAATAGATTAAGTTTTCCAATTTCAATCTTACCCTTGGTTACCCTCAATCTATCAGGAGTGTGCATATAGTTTTCCCTTTTTATTACAATTTTGCCATCCAATGCATCTTGACCATACATTAAAAATTGAAGGGATGAGATGATGGTTGTATTGGGTGTAGGAATGGGAAAGGTTGTAAAATAACCCCTCTCTCTCTCTCTCTCTCTCTCTCTCTCTCTATATATATATATATATATATATATATGAAAAGAGGAGGTGATTTTTTTGTTGCAAGTCATGTTTTTGGCTCAAATGAGTCAACTCTTTAACTTGCAATTGTCAATATAAGATTTGGATATTTCTTAAATCTTGAAATATAGTTATGAAAAACCATGGTTGAAATCTATCAAAGCCAATCAAATGGTAAAACTTATAATTATGAAATATTTTTCTACATGTATACAAAAGTATGAAAGATGTCTTTCAAAATTTGTATAGGCATGGTTGAAATCAAAACCATTTCCATCCAAACAATGAAAATTATAATAGTGAAAAACCATAGTTGAAAACAAAGTCAACCAGATGGCCAAACCAATTAGTAATTTTTATATTTATGAAACTCATGGTTGAAATCTATCAAAGCCAATCAAATGATAAAACTTATAGTTATGAAATATTTTTCTATATACATACAAAAGTATGAAAGATGTCTTTCAAATGTATATCCATGATTGAAATCATAACCATTTCCATCCAAACAATGAAAAATATAGTAATGAAAAACCATGGTTGAATCAAAGTCAACCAGATGGCAAAACCAATTAGAGTAATGAGATGACATCCTAAGGAGTGAGTATTCTTCATTTCTTGAATTGTGGTTGAGTTTTGTATATCTCACATTGATGGAGATATAAAAGATCTACAATGAATGGTGGGTATAAGAAGGGATGTTGAGATGTATTTGCGGCAACTCATGAGGTTGGCTTCTCTTGACCGATCCTCTAAACTCATGTTGTTGACTTATTTTGTCCGACCCTCCGAGCTCATGGGTTGACTCATTTTGGTCAATCCCCTTTTAGCAAAAAAAAATGTTAACCATACAAAATACATTGGCTAAAATATAATTTGTGACTGATCCTCTTTTTGCAAAAAGAATATATATATATATATATATATATATATATATATATATATATATAGGGAATATATCAAATGCAACCCAACCTATTCTTACAACCAATACAACCCTTTTTCAACCAATCAAAGATTTCTTTTTTTTTTCTTAATTATTATTTAATTCAAAAGGTTAAATATGTCATTTTCTAAATCTAGAGTATTTTATTTATTTTAAAATTAAAAATATGGTCCATTATATTTATGGTGATTGAATCATCATTTATGGTGATTGAATCATCATTTATGGAAATTGAATTCTTGATGAAACTAAATGATATTTGAACATATTTGTTTGATTGATTCATTAGAGTTACATAACTTAATTTTTAAAAGTGAAATTGAATAGTTTTAAAGTTCATCTCAATTGCTGTATAAAACCCAGTATTAGTGATATGGATTATATGCCATTCAACGAGATTTTCAGTAAGGATATCGTCGAAGAAAGCAGTGTTTTCGATTCCATGAACGACTGTCAAGATTTTGATTATGGCGGTGAAAATGCAACCGCAGTTAATAATGAAACAATTGAAGATCAAGCTAACTATTCAATGAGGAATGAAGATGGATTCAACGATCGTAACGAAACAGTAAGTGAGCATAACGACGGAGTTTTCGTAGATTTTGTCGATATTGACGTTGCATCGTTGAGCAATGAAGCGGAAGGTATTGATTTGCTTTCATATGATTATGTCCTTTTCACTTTAAAAACATGTTAATGAACCTAAAAATTGTTTACATAATGTTGTTAATGAACCGATATGTTAATGCACTATAATAGCATGTTTTATATGGTGATACAGTTTCCTATAATGAATCCAGATTTCACAAAAACACCCATATTGTTCGTTTCCTGGATATACTAGAATTTTAATCCCTTAATGAAYARCATAGGCTGCAATGKSACAAATTGTTTGRAGAAGTAGAATTGTGAAGCCATTTTCATCACTTACTGTTTTGGTATAGGCCAATTTCATCACTGTTTTTGATGAAGCCATAACTGATTTGATTGCACGTGAACATAAAGTCGTAGTTTTTGAATCAGGTTAAATTAGYTGATGAACCTAATRCATAYRTTTGTGATTTGAAGCAGTGATTATCGCATTTTAAGTCATATATACRTTTATGAATACTAAAAACTGTGTTCATCATGGTGTTAATGAAACTTAAATTCAATGTAACATGCAACCCAACCTGTATTTTCATYAGATGGAAAGAYGAAACGTATACAAATTCGTTACTGTTATGGACCAACAGTAAGTTAGTAAATGAAAAAGCTACAATTTGTTTGATTTTTCTAGATTATCAATCTGATGCTATGGGGGAAACGAACGAAGGGTCGAAATTTTGGTTTCCCAATGTAGACGCAGAATATAAGCCGAAGGTGGGTGATGGATTTGAGACCGTAGAATCGGTTGAAAGAATGTACCGTAAGTATGCTAATGAAGCTGGGTTTGATGTACGTTTATCCAACAAAAAGATAAATAAAAAGGGCCGTATCATGTCTCGATTTTATGTGTGTAGCAAGGAAGGAAGGCCACCAAGTAAGTATTTTGATTCCTTAGATGTTCTTCCTGGTGATCGCATGATCCGTAATTCAAATGTAAAGCGTTCCGGTTGTGGAGCATGTTTGAAGATTCAGTTTGTTAAAGAACGGAGGCAGTATGAAGTTTATAAATTTATTGAGCAACACAATCACATGATTTTTAATAAGGAGGAGATGAGGTTCTCACGTTCTAAAAGGCAACTACACTACACTGATCACAAAAATGTATTTCACGGTTCTAGTTCGAAGGTTGGTGTCACAAAATCTCATAGATTTAGGAAAGCAATTACGGGTGGTGTAGATTGCTCGGGTGGCACCGTAAGGGATCATCAAAACTTCAAACGCGATATGGCTTATTTTGTTGGCAATAAAGACGCACAAATGTTGTTAAATGTGATGTCTAATAGGAGGAAGGTGTGTCCCGAGTTTTTTTTCGAGTACAAGTGTGATGATAAAGAGTTGTTAGCGATTTTCTGGGCTGATGAAATTGCGCGTTCGAATTATAGGGAATTTGGTGATGCAATATCATTTGATGCAACCTTTAGGACGAATAAGTAAGTTACAATTTATACGAATCTATTTCATTTGTGTTATCTAYATTACATGTTATAGCTTGTATTAATTTATAATGTTTACTTTTAATAGGCATGCCATGATATTTGTTCCGTTTGTTGCAATTGATAATCATAAGAAATCTGTCGTTGTTGGAGCTGCTTTGATTCACAATGAGTCTGTGGTTGATTACACTTGGGTATTGAAAGCGTTTGTAAAAGCTCATGGACGTCAACCACGTTTTGTGATCACTGACCAATGTGTGTCGATGAAACAAGCAATTCTCATTGCATTTCCTGAATCCAAGCATCGATTGTGTATGTGGCATATCACTAAAAAGCTCAAATCTAAGGTAATTACGATGAAACTTTTTTGTTTTTGTTAATTTTTCATCTTTTTTAAGTTTTCCTTCTAAATGTGTATTTTGCAGATCARTAATTACCTCCAACATCGTACGCCGTTGTTAGCGAATTTAATAAGTTAGTGTGGAATGTTCACCTTGCCCCTGATGAAATTGAGATGAAATGGCTCAACATGATGGATTCATATGGATTACGTGGATACTCATGGTTTGATGAACTCTATCAGATTAGGGAGTCATGGATTCCGGCTTATTATAAGGATTATCATATGTCCGTTCTAATGAAAACAACATCGAGGTCGGAGAGTATTAATGCTTTCTTGAACTTAGAGAATGCATGCTTTATCATTATTCGCTCGCTTAGTTTCCTTACTGATACATATACACAACGCTGCATAAGGTTATATCGAAACATTATACTAATTTCATTCAACGAAGTATCTTACCTCGATTTGCTGCAATGAATACACCGTGATGAAGTTCGTCTGCCATGGCTTCTTACACACAATCGATTTCTTACTGAATCACGGTTTAAGCATTTGATTTAGAGTGATTATAGCATTGTTGATTTCATAGTATCGTTACTAGGAATAGAMTGATTTCCCCCTTACAATTTTGCCCTTCATTGCCCTCAAAGAATTAGGCGCGTGTATCAAAATACCTAGTTTATTACGACTTTGCCATCAGATGCATCTTGACCTTAGATTAAAAATTGGATGGTAAAGATGATGGTTGTATTGGTTGTAAGAATTGCAAAGGTTGTATTTTAACATCCCTCTATATATATATATATATATACACACACACATACACACACAAATTATTTAATTAAATACAAAATGGCATAATGTTGATAAATATCAATAGTGAAAACTATAGTTTATAATTTACTTTTTGGAGGGATCCTTTTATGTAAAGATCTATATCTATATATGTATATATAAAATGAAGATCATAGAGCATGAAGTAGTATTATGAGATTTAAGTAGTAAAAATATTCAATTGTGGTGTTATTTTCGTTATTCATATTGATGGGGAAATGATAGATTGAAGGTCATTATATAATAAAAGAAAAATAGTAGATGTATGAAACATATTATAATATTTGAATTGTGATATTGTTTATGTTACCTCATGTTATGGATCACATAAGAGATTGGAGAATGATTACAAATATATGAAAGGAGAATATACGTATTTGAAAATTAAAATGGTTATTTGCCTAAAGTATGCATTCGATTCATATCTTACGGAAAAATCGAAATAAAAATAAAATTTAATTGAATATTTATGAATAAAAAGGAAGATGTTAGAGGTTTGAATTGTATAACAAGATTTGAGTAGTTAAATTTTTTGAATTATAATGTTATTTTGATTATCTAACTTTGTCCATTTATTTAAAATATTCATTAAAGTCAAATGTCATATTGTTTTTACATAAATTTGTATCATCGTGCAACGCGCGATGTCGACCATTAGTTAGATTAAGTTTCCGACGAATGTAATTTAATTAATTTAAAAAAAATGAAATTTATATTAAAATTTTAACTAAATTACTGGCTTAAATAATTAATTAATAATTAGATTAAGTTTCTTGTGGGGACCAAAAATTGACCCTAATTACTCTTAAAGTTTTATTAGCAATCGGTGTTAAGGATGGAAGATTTGAAATTCTGCTATGCTAAAACGACCAAGTCTGGAAGAGCATACAGAGGCTCTTTGGACGAGCAAGAGGTTCTCTGAGCGACCAAAGCTCGGATGCAGAACTCGTGCTCTCGAACATAGAGCTCATGTACTTTGATACAGAGCCAGTGCTCTCGAACACATAGCTCGCGCTCTCGAGATTAGAACACAGGTACTTGGATACAGAGGATAAGAAGACCAAAGTCATGCGCCTATGCCTAAATTCCAAGTTCCCGGATACAGAGCGAAGACACAGAGCCTGTGGGTCTTCCACAGATACAAAGCTCATTTAGTTTCAGATAAACCCAATTTTATTGCAGTAGAAAGAAAAGAAAACCGCACCTAGGGGAGTGAAATGAACGAACCACGGGTAAGTCACAACAGAATAGGTCCTAACCGCTTGGGATAGCCCAGCTGGGTAACTAGGTGTAACGATGCTCATTATGGTCCAGTCTAAATGATGCCATAACAAAGAAAACCATAGGCTATATTATAACTTACTTCTCTTGATCATTGTATTTGGTATTTATCTGCCTAATTTTGTCATCATTAGGTGAGCCATTGTTCAGAACATCTAACAGATGAGAAATTCATATGCCCTCTATGACCTACAAACACACATAAATCAAGATTCATCAAAACTTCGGCTTTTCAACTAACAGATAGCTTATTAGCCAGTAAATAATTTATCAACCAACAGCTAGCTTATCAGTCAACAGATAGTTTTTCAGCCAAATTTAACAGCTATATAACTTCAGATTTGCCAAATTTAGAGTTTCTAACCTTCTGATAGCTGCAACTCTTAGAGCGAGTACCCAAAAGTCAGTTGGTTCGTGGGGTTTGCTGCTAACTGCATTTCTAATAACCGCAATCTCTTTGACTCACATGCTCTTGCTGTTCTTCTAACAGTTGTTTTTTTTAATAATGTCGAACTATCACAAATTCTGGCCATTGCATCGATGTAAAAATAACTCAAATTTTGAATCAAGTGAATTTAGGCATGTCAAAAATAATGATGAAGGGATTAGTCACCGAAAACTCACCCAAATCCATGTCAGAGGATAGGTCTTCATCAATATCATCATCATCGGCAGCATGTTCTGCATTTGGAGGCTTCATAACTAACTCGATTTCTTTCATAAATTGCTCAACATCAAGGTCCACATTGTTTGGATTCCTAAAAGAACCAAAAAACACATACATCTAATATAGTAAATATGTGATATTACTTGTTAGTAAATCCTAGTTTTGATTATTGTCTCAAGCCAACTTATACTAACCTCAAAGCCAAGAGATTATTACTTTTTTTTTGGTCAAGATTGTAACACCCCATAACTCAAATTGCACATAACATATAATTCATTCAGAGAATGCATGTTTAATCCTACAAAGGTCCAAAGTACAAGAAAAACTACATTACAAAATACACGACCCAAATATTCCAAATAACGTGTTCTTGTACTACATATCATTTATCTTCAAAAGCACATCAACATATTGATCTTCACATAGCTATGCATATAGGGAAACAAATAATATTTTCCCTTTTCCTTTATTATCATTATACTCTGCAGTTCCTGTAATACATATTTGAAACACAAAATGAGGGTTAGACCTTAAGGTCTAGTGAGATCCTTTTTTTCCATGTAATTGCAGGGTGAAAATCACCAAAACCTAATTTAAATAAATTATTTCACATAATGGAATGTAAAAATCCATAGTCTGTTTTTGTCCATCGGTCCTCTGGTTCCAAGGATCAGACTTAGAGAATATTTTATAAAACAACAAGACCAGAGCTCCTCTAGTTTCTCTACCAAAGCCTTTGGTTATACCAACCAGAGCTCTTACTCAAGTAAATCCTCATGAATGTTCATAGTCAAACACCATAGATAGTTAGAATAGTTTGCTCAAGTATAAAAGCAATCATTAAAATGTTTTAGTATGACCAGAGCCCTGGTTCTACTAGCCAGAGCTTCTAACTCAAAACATAAGACCAACCAGAGGCCTTCTGGTTTAACGCGTAGGCCAACCAGAGCCCCTCTAGTTTGTCTCTCCTTGTAAGAAAAGTTTCTAAGTTAAAAACAAGTATAAAATCTTTTGAACATCTTTTAAAGTATAACTTTGACACATAGCTCCTATCTAATAGATACAAAACTTCTGGTTTAAATAAAAGCTTTGTAAAAGACTTGCATCAATATCAAATCATCATCCAGAACCCTCTGGTTTTATTGTGAGGACCAACCAGAGCCCCTCTGGTTCCTTTCAAGGAACAACCAGAGCCTCTCTGGTTCCTCATAAACCAAACATTTTTCCAAAATAGAGCTTATCCAAAACCATTGGCCATAAGCCAAGTTTTCCCCTTCTCAATAACATCAATACTATCATTTGTAATAAGAGAAACATCACTGAGTTCTCAAATCACAAAGAAGTAAGAACTTAAATCTATTGCAATCTTAAGAGACATAGTAGCAAGAGCTATAATAATTCACACATACAAATGCCACCCTTATATCCAAAGGTACACCTCTCCACGAAATTCAGTTTGATGTCCAGTTTAATCTCTGGAAGTGGTATTGCTAAACTTGGATCGGCCAAACATTTGCGCAGATTTGACACATGAAAGGTGCTATGAATTAGGCTGAGCTCTTCCGGTAGTTCTAATTGATAAGCCACTGGCCCAACCCGTTTGCAAATCTTAAACGGTCCAATATACCTCAGACTAAGTTTACCTTTCTTCCCAAATCTCATAACGCCCTTCCACGGAGATACTTTCAACATTACAAAGTCACCCATGTTGAATTCAATCGGTTTTCGTCGCTTATCGGCATAACTTTTCTGATTGTCCTAGGCTGTCTTGATTCTTGCACGAATTTGTTCAATCTTTTCAGAAGTTACTTGAACAATCTTGGGACCTGTCAGTTGTCTTTCACCTACCTCATTTCAACATAACGACATTCAACATTTTCGTCTATACAATACCTCATATGATGCCGCTTGGATGCTGGAGTGATAGCTATTATAGTAAGCAAATTATATCAATGGCAAGTGATCCTCCCATGATCCCCCGAAGTCAATGACACATATTCTCAACATGTCTTCAAAAGTCTGGATGGTTCTTTCACTTTGCCCGTCCGTTTGAGGATGATAAGTTGTACTTAACCGAATTTGAGACCCCAAAGCTCTTTGTAAACTTTCCCAGAACTTTGAAGTGAAACGGCTATCTCGGTCAGAAATGATGGATAATGGAACACCGTGTCTGGTTATGATTTCCTTGCATCATATCCTTTCGGGGTTCGGGGTAATTTCATGACAAAGTCTATCGTAATGTGATCCCATTTCTAGACTGGAATTTCCAAGGATTGCAGATTTCCATAAGGTCTTTGGTGTTCGATCTTAACTTGTAGACAAGTTAAGCATCGTTCCACGTATTTTGCTATATC